GAGAGAGAGAGAGAGAGCAAAGTTCTTCTAAAAGTATACCACTTACATCTTTCCTTATCCCGAATCTATAATCACTTCCATTTGTAAAATGGATATTTCTGTAAAAAAAGATAGTCTTACAAATGATCGATGGATAAAAGTTGTTCGAGCCTTAAAAATTGCAGCGTTAAGTACGCAGAGGATTAAATATATCTTAGATGTGACAGGCGCAGAGTAAATGAATCAGTCCGTATGGTAGAACCTAACGGGATTTATCATGGCAGATATTACATTTATTAATAACATCGGGTTCCGAAAGCGAGAGCCCGAAGACCCACCAGCATTCTACGAGGATGAGTGTTGTCTGTGCCTGCATTCGTGCGTGCGTGCGCGCGTGCGTGCGCGCGCGCGCGCGTGCGTGTATGCGTGCGTGTACTCGGATACTCATGTGGCGGGCGGCTGCGCCACGCGACTCCACTTGAAAGCATTCGGAGTCCAAATATAGCATGAACGTACCAAGCATCCCAAGCCCATCTCGATGACGAGAGTACGAGATTGATGCCTCTGATAATCGGTCGACATACGGAATTGGGCGATCCAGAGAAGAATCAGAAGCGAGAGTACGAAGAAGCGTCTCGCCTTAATTGATGCTGAGATAGCACGAGTCAATGTTCCGAGGCACTTCAGAATCGTCAACGAAGCAAATTGATCTCGATTTATTCCTAAAAAGTAAAAAACTCGTTTGATTGAGTAAAAAAACATTTTTAATTTCGAACAGATGATCATTTTTTCTTTTTATTCGCGTGTAAAAATTAGGAAAGTTTAATTGACTTGATATATAACGTTAATTACATTGGAACAAGATTCTTCAATCCAGAAACATGGAAAAATTTAACGTGGATAAAAAGTATCAAATTTAATTGCGATCGATTATGTGCCTTTACGTCGAACGTCGATTTAAAGAAGATGATTCAAGAGAAATATCTGTAATCTTGGTGAAGGGTGAAGAGCCATTAACCTGTATCTCTAACGTTCGTAGAACTCGTAATTGGTAGTAAGATAGTTTATTTTCGAGTCACTTTAAGTACAACAAGTAAGCAATAGCGGCGATTGCCCGCGATATTTTCAGAACTACACTATGACTCACGCTAAGGATAAGTCTGCAGTTTGACTTCAAATATATTTGAAAAGTATTGAATTTATAAAAGATATTAATTACACGCTTTTATTTTATAATATATATAATATAATATATATATGTATTTCCCTGTATTTTATTCTTCAAAAAAGCAAATTTCTAAAATTATACTAAAATTATATTATACTAAATTATTCTAAAATTATAATCACATGTACATTTCGCATTATGTTTTTTTTAAATATAGATTTTCAAGTGTCTGCATCGATTTCTCTCGGCGCTTACTGATACGCTCCTTTTAGAATGAACTCCTTATTCACACGTGGTGTCGAGGACTTCTATCTTTGTTTACTCGCAGACAACCAGGCCCTGATTCGTTCGAGATGTTCAGAGCACGACATGCCGAGGCAGCTGGCTCCGAAGTGCAGCGCCCAAGAGTCAGTGGCACGAGTTATTGCATTCAAGTCCAAGGTTTCAAGACTCCGAGACAGGAGTGTCTCGCTACTCTAAAAATAATAATCTGTTGCGTCTTCGAGAAAAGAGAAGAGCTTCTGGACTCCGGAGAGGAGTTCGGATGAACGACGACGACGACGACGACGACGACAACCGGTCGCCGTCGTCTCTTTGTCTCGCCGAAGTTGACCTTGATTTCACTCTAAGTGCTCCTAGTCGGTTTGAAATCAAACGATCGCCTTGACTTTCAAGCACCGACTTCACAAAACTCGACGTTCCACAACGAACGCACGTCGCGCGACAGAGCGAGATATGTAGCAAATTTTTTAGCAAATCGCCGTACTTCCTGAATTTTTCAAAGGATGAAAGGATTATATCTGTTTCACTTTAAATACAGGGTATAAAAAAAAAAAGAAAGAGCTCGGTTCTAGTCCTCGGAGTAGAATAAGATTCCTGACAAAACGATACTTTTTTCCTCTCTAATTATTTTCTACGTCTTTTTCTTCGAGAAACGTGTTATGAAGAGATGACGTACTTAGAAGAAATGAGGCTAATCATCGCGCTTTGTAAAAACATGGCTGTTAAGGAGGATCGATATCTCTCTTATTTTCGACGCGTGACTAAGTACAGTTTGCTTGATCGATTTTAGGATGACGAGACGAAACCGACGGAGTCAACGGATGCGGAATCAGCCCCCGTGGTGACAAAGGAGACCGAACAAAATGCTCCGCCCGCGGAAAAACCTACCACGCCTGCTAAAGATTCTAAGGAAGGGCGAAAAGGCATTCTGAATGCTATACCTATTCGTATACCTTTGGTATCAACCGTTTTCTCCAGAAGAAAGAAGGTACGTATCTTCATCGAAAAACATTTTTACCCCAAATTTTCCGAAGAAGAGAACAATATCGAAATATTAAGAAATTAAATCAGTTAGGAACTATAAAAAAAAAAAATCTAGAAAACTGTTCTATCCATCTGCGTTTATGTTAGTTCGCGCACGAAGCAGGGATTATTAGCTCTCCTATTCTGAAAGATGTTCTTGTATCTAACATCAATTTATCTAGATGTCGAGGATGTAAACCGTCCGAACGCGATTTCACCGAGCGGAAATATGGAATAATGGCAACCTAAGGAAAGAAAGCGTATTTTTGTGCAGTCGCGTGAAAAGAGAATCTCTGAGAATCTCTGAGAATGTATCCATATTTATACAATCCATAATCCATAAGTCAGAAACTCGTCTTCAAAAATTTCGAATACAGATACTTCCTGAAATATCTTATTCTATCCTATCTTATGCTCCAGATTTTTAACATTTTTTAGAAGTCTCCAGACTTCTCTTCTGGTCCTTTCTCTAAATATGGCACGTTAGCTTCGACACTATGGAATACATATGAGACATTCGATTGTAGCAGCGATCCGATCCTCATGAAAAATGAGGGAAAAAAATGACCCACGACTTCTTAATTTTTTAAAACAAAAAAAAAAAAAAAAAAAAAAAAAAAAAAAAAAAAAAAAAACTAAATTTTCGAATCGATCACATTGTACGTAAATCCGAAATCTCGCAAGTGTGATCGAATGATACGATCATCATCTCGCTTGTGCGCGACTCGTGACTATGAAATCATGGAAGACAGATATCCCGCAGATAGAACTGGGAATAATTGCGTCCCGTTAAAGGGCACATATGATACGTACGTATTGAACGCATCGAGATGTGCCTCCATACGGTATACTTGCAACCGGATGTAAATTATACCTGTGTGAGTGGGTGCCGACTCGTTTTTGTGTCCAGCTCTTTGAGTCTCCCATCTCTCCGATATACCCAGTGTCGCGTTTGATTTTAATCATCTTTGTGTCACGTTGGATATTACATTATGATATTCTTTGATATAAATAAAGAATCTCACGCAAATCTTATTATGGAAAATGGCATGAGAACTTTTAATCAGCTCGACATGAGCTACGAAATATTAAAATTTGAAGCAATTTGACCGAGAGCCATTTTCCATAAGATTTGTGCGGGAGGGTTTCTTTTCCTACATCTATTTATTTTTTTCTAAATAAATTAGATAATATGTTTTAAAAATGCATTAGATACATCTGATAAATAAACAGAGTCTTTGACCCCGATATCAAAATGGATTATCGTAGAGAGTTTCTCGATTAATTTGCTTCTCTAAGACGTACGTAATACGATCCTTCCAGGAAATGGACGCCGAGTTAGGACAGACCGGCGCCGCCGGATTAGCGAGCGTTGAGACACTTGACGATGGCGAGAAGAACCCTATCGCCAATGAAGATGGTATGGAAACCGTACGACTCGATGGAGAGGACGGTCCCGAACGTGCCGAGCCACCGAAGCATCCTCTGGTAATCTGTATATCCGCGCTCAGGAGACACGTGGTCGTTTCAGGTATTAAAATTTGCCTCACGTCATATTTCAAATATGTCGTTCATTTATTAAAACAACGACATAACTCAAAGGACAAAATTTTCCAAAACATGAATTTGAATGTTTTAAATCGTTGAAATTTATGATATCATTTTTAAATGCGATTTTAATGTAATAATTGATGATAAAAAAAAATAGTAGTATTATTAGTTCTTCATTTAGCGTATTACATTTTCGCCTATTATAAAAATAAATTCTTAGAAGAAGCTCTTTTTGATCTGAGACGTATAATGACTTAGTATAAAACTCTTTTCAATTAAGAGTTTGCAAAAGCTCGGAGTTATGTCGTTTTATATTTCTCTTGAGTAATAAGAACTCAAAGGTCTCTTTTTTTCCCCAACCAATTAAAAAATGTATAGCAAATAAGCGATATATATTTGTAGTAATTTTATGTTGGAAATTAATTTTCTTAATTGTCCGACAGTGGTGACTCTGCTGATCCTGCTTAGCATCATCGTTATCATTTGCATTGCCTGCGCTGGGCCCAGGAAGGTGCCTGTCCAGTCTCTGAAAAACGGCAAGTACATTGAGGCGGTAACGTCCTGCGGACCGGTGCAGGGCATTCTGGAGGATGGCGCCTACGCGTTCCGTGGTATTCCATACGCGATGCCGCCGGTCGGCAACCGTCGCTGGCAACCGGCTGAATCTCTGAGCCGCATCGAGCATTGCTGGAATGGCACTTATCTAGCACACAACTCCTCCGAAAATTGCTGGCAACGTGAGGCGACATCCGGTCTCATGGATGGCGTCGAGGATTGTCTCTATCTTGACGTGTTCACTCCATCAGTGGGATATGATTCCCCGTTACCCGTGGTCGTCATGATTGGTGCTGAAACTCTGATCGGCGGCTCACCTGGAGTGATGCAGCCTTCGGCCAAACTAGCGCGCGTTCGCGACATGGTATTCGTGCGGCCAAACTTCCGGTAAAATATTATAAACTACAACGTATTCTTGTCATTTTCAATCAAATTGTTTCTTATATTACTTCTATCGTCGTGTGTATTTTAATAAAATAATCAATTTTTATATCAAAAACTTTCTCGAGTCAGGGATGATTAAAAAGATATCTGCAATTAAGTTTCAAAGACGTAAGGACTTATTTTTTATTCATTATATTCTTAGGTTGGGAGTTTTCGGATTTTTGGCGGTCGAGCCTCTTACCAGAGCGACTCATCCTCCAACTTCGGGCAATTATGGATTATCAGACATCATAGCGACCCTTCAATGGGTACAGTTGAACATCGAAAACTTTGGCGGCAATAAATCATCCGTAACTTTGTGGGGACACCGAGCGGGCGGCACTCTCGCTACGACACTAATCGGTTATCGTCGAGCCAAGAATCTTTTCTCGAAAGTGTGGATATCCAGTGGTAGTGCGATATTCCCGGGGAAAGAATTGAGCGACTCTGAGCGATCGAACATACCGTTCCTCGAATCGATTCGTTGTAGCGATGCTGCTTGCTTGAAAAGTAAAAGCGCCGAAGATCTTATGGACGCCATACCAAACACGTGGCTTCCTAGTCCCATCGGTCTGCCGGGAATGAACGAGGGCGGAAATTACAAGAAACACGAGTGGCTCGTTCTGGACGGCTCGATTCTTCAGGAGCACATTGGCCGAATCTTAGCTCAAGAGAATCTTACGGTAAAAGTAGTGATGGGTACTACCGCGCACTCCGGTATCCCGCAACGGTATTTGCAATCGAACGCCACTCTCAATGCGACGCAAGTCGAAAAAAACGTACGAGAATCTTTGCTCGGAACTGCCGGTTTTGCAGATGAAGCTCTGAGGTGAGTGGTTGAAGTTGCATATGATTAACGATTGACATGTATTTAAAACAATCATTTTTACATATTTCTTTAAATTTTTCAGACGCTACAACGCCACGTTGAAAGGACTGGTTGCAATGATTTCCGACATCCGTGTAGTGTGTCCCCTGCTGACGCTTGCCAGGATGAGGACCAACATACCATTTTACGTAGCCACTCAATCACGCCGACAATTTGCTGATCCTGATAGCGATGCTGCAGCTATTCTAGGAACCTATGCCGCTGTCACGCCCGAGGAAAAGAGACACGTGTCAGCTATGCAACAATTGTTCAATCATTACGTGTGGCATGGCGAAGTTGCGCAGGCCGACCAGTCGGGTGCGAAGCGAGTCTTGGTTGTCGGCCAGGATACCCTGCTTGAACAAGGCTATCCAAATTGCGATTTCTGGATAGAAAAAAATATCGTACCTATGTACGGCCGGGTTGATTAAAAGGGCTTACGTCGTTGTGCACGTCTGTGTGTTAGAATCTGAGAGATCGCTCCTTGAGCGATACGCGTTGTCCGCTGAATTTCCGCGGACATTGATTCTCATAGCGCAGATATGTACTTTAACTACTTAAATAGATCGATAGTAACAAGCGTTCTTCACGCAGATTAACGAACAAAGATCATGCCTTTGTGGTGCGACGTATAGTAGTAGTACCTGTCACATTATGACAATTAATTAATGTAAAAGAGAGAGAGAGAGAGAGAGAAAGAGAGCCAAAATATAAAATAGTGAACTAAAAAAGGAGAAGGAAAGAATTTATGTAGATATCGTGTATGTCAACGTGAGTTCGTTCTCAATGCTGAAGTACATAACGATATTTTATAAGTTATATAGCAATGAGAAGTGAATGTTATTCTTTGTATTCGAGATAAACGTGCGTTCAACCACAAGGCACGTAAACTTTTATGTATGTGTATAAATGTGAATCAAACTGTAATATATTGCGTAAGGACGGTGTAAGATGTGCCGAGGAAGACGCGTAGAAAGACATAAGAGCGTAGTTTAGAAAAGGATTGAGATAGTTAACGGCGTACATTACAATTATATTCTTATAAGATGTGAGCAAATGGGTGCGAAAAGAATAAAAGGAGCAGCAATTTTTAATAATCTCTTTCGAATCAATCGCAATAAAAATTCTTCTCAAATTCGAACGCAAGACCGACATTTTAACATAATTGAAAACCTTTGGCTTGTTACGTGAAGATATTTTATTCTTCATCTGCTTCTTCGTATTCAGCTCATATAGACGTAAGTTAAGTCTAAAAAGTTAGGCGTAAAAAGGTCTCGGAATATAAACGATTAGTTAGTAGATCCTCGGCGCATTATCTCGACGAGAACGATTTCGTATCCTTACACATGATGGACCATACTCTTCTGCTACGGGAAATATTTTTAGATCAGGAAAATGTGCAGGAGGAGTCTCATAGTGGGACATATGCATTGTTGCATGCATCGCGTTTGTGGAAATTAATTTTCTCGGAATAGCTTTCCTTCAATTCATCAATCTTTGTCTGTTTGTATGAAAAATTTTTTATTATTAATATTTTTATACACACACACACACACACACACACACACACACACATATATATATATATATATATATATATATATATAATAATATGGAGAAAAACGTAATTACTCTTCCGCGGTGAAAGAACTGCAGACTGAACAAATAGCGAGCAATATTTATCTATTCCATTTATCTATCCATTTAAGAAATCCTCATAAAGAACTTTCGAACTTAATCAGACTGAAGCTGCCAAATTTGGTACTTTTTATATTGGGTATTATCCACTTGAACGATAAGCGTTTTACTAAAATTCATAATATTCGGATTTTGTATGCGTAAAAAAATTACAAGTCACGTTCGCGAGCCCATGCGATCAATGGCTTTCCTGCGCGTCTCTCCTCTTCCGGAAACGCGACTTGTGTCTCAGAAATGACAAATGATCTTGATATTCTTCTATTACTCATTTTTACGATTATTATAATTATTACTTGATGTGTTGTTAAGTATAATTTATTTTCACTAATATGTGATAAAGTAGTATTTACGAAAAACCTGTACGTTATTTTATTTTATAGATAGGTCACATTTTTTGCATAATTAATATCCGTTATCTTAATATTACACAGAACGATGATATTCGCGACAAACATCCGTTGTGGTATATTCTGATGGATCGCGACTAAAAATACCAGCGGAGTTTTTAAGTGTACTGTTAGTATATCCTCATTCATACGTGAAAGACATTTGAATCTCCTAAAAGTATCTAGCAACGAAACCGCATAGTGTATACATATATTGAGCATTGTATTTTATAAAGGAAAATTTCAGAATAGTGTGTATAATTTTGTGGATATTTTGGATATTTAAACTGCTTCTACTTACGCAATCTCGCGGCACTTCGCGCGCGAGGATCACAATGTAAACGTACGTGTGCACGTTATCTCTTCAAGCGGAACATGCGTGATGTATCTATTTGAATACTCTCGTACAACTTGATTATACTTTCACTATGGCTAGATAGTATGTGCAAGAATATTACTGGTGACTTATTAAAAAATATTACTTGTACTCTTGAATGTTTAGCGATATTAAGGCAATTGCATTCCATCGAAATCTTAGACAGATGCTCGTACGCTCTTCATTTGCTTCATTCTCGGACGTTTATTGTAATTTGTAAAATGTACAATGGCAAGTCTAAATTATTCTTGATTTGAAAACATTGGAATATTTTGTGTATATTTTACTTTAACATTTTTCTTTTTAAGTGACTATACACCTATGAAATAGGTATATTCTATTAGCAAGTATTTTTAAAGAATTTATTGTATTAATTATTGAAAGATGACAAATTTAATTTTAATTCGTAAGCATATCGACATAATAGATGGTTCGTCGACTTATTTATACAGAGCTACAGTATTTTGATATATCAAGCGAATTAATTATAAGTATATAGAGCGAGAGAAATTTATTTGTATGTTGTTTAAATATTGTCAGGCCTCGTACTATCGGATATACACATATATATATA